ATACCATCACTATCACTGGATGATTTATTACCACATTTGTTCACTATCTCTATAATTTCCTTTTCAACAACTGGCTTCAGAAACATAGAACACATATTCCTTTCAATTGTATTGTTATTTATAATGACGTCTGTACAAATGCTTCTTGCTAAACCAGGACCCACATTCACAAAAAACCTATTAAACTTCTCAACTACATCCTCAAATCTGTTGACCGGAGTATCATTTAGCACAACAAAATCTCTTTGCTGCTGAAATACTTCCTAATGGGGACCAGGATGTGGGTGGTACCCCACCATAGTTGGAGTAAATGTGTGTGGAGCCTTGAGTGCACTACCAACCAAAAACTGTAAGGGGGAGCTACTGTGCACTCAACACACACATACACACTGAATGGGAAATGTGCGTCATGAGCCAATGCTAAAAATCACACAGCCACCTTCAGAACAGCTCCTGTATTGATTTAATAGGGTTTCCCTCATGGGAACCTGCTTTTTGGTCACCACCCCTGAATGTGTGCCCCAGCCTGACCACCCCATACAAAATGGTCTAGATCCTCCCCTGCCTCAGTGTCTGCCTTGATAGTGTTGAAACCTACAGTGCATCATCCCTCAGTGTTAATATATCATTTGTCACCTACAGTCTCAACCTTAGTTCGAATGACCAGTAACTTAACTGATTTTGAAAGGAGTAACCCAAGCCTAACACTAGAGGTCGCACAACATTCACTGGTGGGTGCTCCGTAGTCTGTATGTAGGTCAATGCCTTTGACACTGCAGTTGGTTGCTTTCAGACTATGTCAATGTCATTTTTTGGGAAAAATTATGAGTCAGTGTCTAGATGATAGATTTTATGTGTGAGGTTCAGACAGCTGATTCTGAGCTTTTCTCTCTTTTTAACTAATACGATAGGAATAAAAAAATGTAAATCTGACAGTTTGTTTGTAATATGTATAACCTTTCACTATAGTCTGTGTTTAAATTTTCTATATGGCCAAACCAGTTTTTTATCATATCCATGTCACACTTTGATTAAACGATTAATAAAGTTTATATTTTCCCTCGCCAACATTTTCTGAAGGACAAGAGCTCTTTTTGCCTTACAGAAAATATTTCTGTCACCATACAGTATCATGAATACGTTTATCTCCATCAGTCTGTGCGCTCTCTGTGCGCTTTGTGTCGTCAGTAAAGTTGCCCGATCCGCTGAAGACGAGCGGTGCGCCACAAACATCCACTCGATCCAGAGGAAAAACAGAAGAGAGAAATTCATAATAAACGCACATCTCAGATGAATTTTCTTACGTGTGGATAACTAGATGGATCGATGACAAACAACACTAAGAACGCCAGAATGTTGTCCGAGCACCAAACCGCAAAGCTGAGGAGGACGATACTGTGAGGGCGGATCTCCTCCGAGGTTTTAACCATCTCGGCGCTCAGTGAGGGAGAAACGGGTATAACGAGAACCAGAAGAGGGGAAAATGCTCCAAGTTTGGCCGTGTCTTTTACCCGTCCCACAACAGCTGCAGAAAATGAGCATGAATTGAACGAAGAATGCATGTCGTTTGGGATATATCTGTGATTCTGCAAACATTTATCATCTGCACGTCATCAGGTAAGGGGCCAAAACTAAACTGGTTCTTGAGACAGAACAACATAGAAATGTAAGGAAACGGTTGCAGTGATGTCATTAGTAAGTAACGATTGTGGCTATTTATTAAACAAGCCTGTAATCAGGTGAACCGCGCCTGTGGGTCATTTCACTTTTAAAATATATGTGTTTAGTCTGACAGTGTTCTTCTGTTAACAGGCTCTTTTGACAGACATACAGTGCCTCAGTCAGTGCACAGTGGTCACAGTCAGACCAATAAAAGATTGAAATTATAGCCTAAACTCATACATTACAACCCAGCACCTTGATCTGTAGCCTTTCATGCAAATGGCCAAATGGAGCCCCCCCTCCCCACTCACACACACACGGAGTGTAGTAGGAGTCTATATAATGCACAGGCTGACTAAAATATGAATTTGTGAATATAAATGAAAATCACAATATGTCTAAAGAGCTTGCAGTACGGCCATGTCAGTGAGGCAGCCGTGATAGCTACACATTCCCACAATGGGATGAGTCAAGACTTGCTCATCACTGCTGAAGCTGCCAGCATCGACTTAACAAAACATGAGGATTTGGACGGCTGATGGTGATAATGATATGCAGAGAGCAGTATCATCTGTTGATGACCCAGCAGTGGCCGATTTTTGGTTTGGCGTCCTATATTCTGGTGAAGCATAACTGGGTGAAGTTCGGCACGCAGCAGCCTGCGCAATGGCCACAAAACTTCCGTTTTTTTCTTGGAATAGGCGGATATTGTGCTTACTGACTAGAGTGAAAAAGTTTCATATCAAATTAAACAAGCTGTAATGGTCTTCTACTGCCTCTAAAATGTAATTAAACCAAGCAGGCGACCTCATAACATATTGTAGCGTGCTGGGGGAGCTTCATGTACTGTACACACACGCACACACACACACACACACACACACACAGACATAGCACAGATGGACAGTAATACGCCCAGAGGGCAGGGCTGCTGCTGTTGCCCACTGTAGCAGGTGTTCTGGGGGGAGGAATCTTTGGGTTGGTGGGTTATGCTTCAGGTTTCTCTGGGTCTTTTGGGGGAAATTACATGTATATAAGTTCATAATGTTCACTGCTCTGTCTGTTAAAGAAGCAGTGGCTATGTGGGGTTGTGCAGCATATGGGGCACAGTAGCTCCCCACAATATACTGCAAAGAGCACTGAGTAATATCACTAAATGCTACGTAACTGTAAATGTGGTCTATGTAACACAAGAGTATTTGTTTTTAGCCAAAACTCAAGAAGTGTCGCACAACAACACTTCTGAATGCTAGATCCAGAGGCAGAGAAGCATAAGCATGCAATTTATTGCCAACTATCATCAAAAATACAAGGAATTTGACTCCAGCCCAGTGGCCCCTGATGTGCACAACAGCAATAATAATAATAATAATAATCACCTTTATTTGGCCAAGTATGTTACACACAAGGAATTTGTTTCCAATACAGAACCGAGGCAGCCGTCTGCGGCGCCAACTCACACCGATGGCTCTAACTATCGGGGGCAACTTGGGGGTTCAGTGTCTTGCCCAAGGACACTTTGACATGTGGACTGCAGGCACCAAGATTCGAACCTCTGGTTGGGAGACAGCTGCTCTACCCACTGAACCACATTTGCCCCACAAAACAAAATAAATACAAAATATATACAGTATAAGTTAAAAAAGCAAAAGTTAAAAAAACAAATGTAGACTAGCTGTTCAGGTGACCTGTAGCGCCGTCCACAGGGGAGGAGTTCAAAGAGTTTGTATCCAGCATGTAAGTGGTCCGCAGAAATCCTCTCCACCCTCCTTTTGGCCTGTGAGATGTGCAGGTCCTCCCAGGAGGGCAGGCTGGCACTGATGATTTCCTCTGCAGTTCTGACTGTCTGCTGGAGTCTGTTCCTGTCCTGTTTGTTTGCCGAGCCAAGCCAGACAGAGATGGAAGTACAGAGAACAGACTCGATAGAAGAACTGAATCAGCAGCTCCTGAGGCAGGTTGAGGCAGAAGACACAAAGAGATGGCATGGGTAATTGGTAGTTGAACTTGTTTCTTTACCACTGCTAACTGGCGGAGGTAAGCATTAACTTCAGTAACATAACACTTCACAGAAGACAGGCAGAAGCTTCTGCTTGCAGAAGTCCTGCCAAAACGTGGAGGTAAACTGTGGTCCCCTGTCGGAGATGATGTTAACTGGGAACCCGTGGAGGCAGAACATGTTGTTTCATGATGGAGGCGGTCTCCTTAGCTGAGGGGAGTTTAGGGAGAGCGATCAAATGAGCCATCTTTGAAAAGCAGTTAATGACAGTAATAATGACTGTGTTGCCTACAGATGGTGGTAAGCTGTTAAAAAAGGCCATTGGAAGGGGATACCATGGTTGTCTTGGAACAGGTAGGGGATGCAGGAGACCAGTGGGCCAGGTCTTTGGTTCTCTAGGTGCAAGAATAGATGACATTGTCAGTTGCTGAACATTGTGACAACATTGCACCCACTCTAACGTTAGAAGCGTCCACCTCGACAATAAAGCTCCAGTTCGGATCAGGTAAGGTCAGGATGAGTGCTGAAGTGAACCTCTTCTGAGATGCTGAAAGACAGTCTGAGCAGAAGGAGACCTGTTAAATGGGCTCTTAACAGAGGTGAGTCTGTACAATGGGGCTGTGAGTGCACTGTAACCTTTTATGAAGCACCAGTTGAAGTTTGCAAATCCAAGGATTCATCTTAGCTGTCGATGACACTCAGGGACTGGACATTTGAGGACTGCCTTGACCTTCTCAGGATCCATGCGCACCACCCCTGTGGAGACTCTGAAACCAAGAAATGACACAGAGCATTTGTGAAACTCGCATTTTTCAGCTTTGACATACAGGTGGTTCTTCAGGTAGTCATTTCAGTATGTTGCAGACATGCTGGCTGTGCTCCTTCCAGGTGAAAAAAACAAGATGTTGTCCAGGTAGACAAAACGATCCAACATGTCCCTGAGGATGTCATTAACCAGTATTCTGGATTAAAAAGGATGCACACAACAGTAAATGTGAATGTTGTTTGAAACAAAACTCCCTCTGCAATGTAGGAAATATTTTATCCATCTTTTTTCATAGGTGAAAATGTAAATTCTTCCTATCAAAAAGTTTGTTGAATTAGAAGGTCATCATTGGTCCTTATTTGTATTTAAATAGTACTTGAAAGTGAACAGAAAAGCTCAGTAATTTCTTTAAAAATGATACTTCTGTTACATTTTAGTTCATAAAAATGTGACTGCGTCAAATAGGCAGATAACATCGCTTGATATCAATCACAAGCCCCTGAATCGAAATTGTATCATGGCATATTTTTAAGTATCTGCAAACATCGGATCCCTGGCAAAGGGAATCGATATAGGATCATATCGTGATGAGAGTGGTGGTTTACACTCCTGCTGGATGTTTTAGTTCCATGCAAGCTATCTGGTCAGCCAGGTGTTGCAGAGCCTTGTTACTGAGGTGGGATGTAAATATTAGCCAGAATAAACAAGGACAACTCCTTTGGTGAATTGAACAGTTTGCAGTTAATGAATGTAGTCTCTAAGTCCGTGTTGCAAGTTTTCCCTGTGACATCTTTACCTTTATTTATGTAGAAGCAGATTCCACCTCTTCTTGTTTTCCCAGATGACTTCATTTCAGGGTCCACTGTGTGGAGTTGGAAGCCTGGCAGCTGAACTACTGTATGCTGTCTGAGATTGACTCACTGAGCCATGTCTTGATGAAGCACAGAGCAACAAAATGTGAGAAGTCAGAGTTAGTCTGGTTAACGAGAAGCAGTAATTCATTTTCTTGGCTGGAGATCCGAGATTCGCTAGATGGATAGACAGGAGTGGCATCCAGGTTTCGCGCTGTTGTATCGCAACCATGCTTTCCCCACCTGCGCCTTCTGCAGGTCCCATTGATAGCTACTGCTAGCTACGAAATGTCCACACAGCCATTTTCAGTTTGTAAAAATGGGAGAACAAGTGTTTGGAGTGAGTTGTCAGATGTTCGAGAGCTCTTCTGTGCTAATGGTAATCTGAGATGGATTGCAGAAAACTGAGAAAAAAAATGGAAAAACAGCAAAAGCACAAGAGTGCATGCAACTGAGGCAGCCATCCACAGAACCATCTGGGATCATCTTGACATTTTGGCATTTTAGCAAAGCTTAATCTCTAATAGCAGTTTTGTGCTGTTTTATAAACAATGGCTTTATTCTGTTCATAAAAGATAACTTAAGGCAATGTCCTTCACACTGCTGATGAATCTCTGAAACATCACTTTCTACAGATAATGCCTGTGCCAAGTCAGAAGCACTTACCCATTTGTTTTTCAAAGTAATGGTGTGTAAATAGTATATTGGTGGCATTATGTCAGAATAAAAAATGAAAGTGCAGGATTTTTTTTTTACAGGGAGAACAGGAAAAAACATGATTTCATATAGATTTTTGGGGGGCATTTTCCTTTATTAGACAGTAACAATGTTGATACATAGATAGACATTATAGGGAGAAAAAAGGAGTACAACATGTACATGAACAGAGGATGCTGCAGTTATACCTTATGTCTATAAATCACTTTAGGACAAATAATCACTGGATGTCCAAACATTTAAAAAATTAAATATAAAAAATCAAGAATTTAAAACATTTTGCTGTCAGTTTTTTGGATGATATTTCAGTCCATTTAGAGTGGCACATCCATAAAGTTTAGGTAGATACTGTATGAGAGAGATTCCAAACAGAAATGAAATCATCTGAGGCTGAGACTTCCTGTCAGAATGGAGGAAACTCCAAAAACACTAAAGGTTAATCTGCATTGTTTTCCTTGCTTGCATCTTTTACTAGCATCTTAGTCTCATCCACGGAAGATGCAAGGAGAAACTGCAAGGAGAGAGGAACCAAGGAAACATGTTTTAACTGACATTAGATGTCCTCTCCTCTGATCCTTAATGTGAAGCATCCAATCACAAACTGATTTCCAATAAAGGGGCGACTCAATTCATAATAGACTTCTGTGAAGGATGCACTTGTGTATCCTTGGTAAAAGCTCCTCCAGGCAGCCTCCTTGCTCCTTGGTCCTTTCTCCTTAGAGAGAGCTCTGGGACATCCTTTATCACGGCAGACCAGAATTACTTCCTGGTCAAGCAAAGACTGAGGACCAAAAAATGGTAAAATAAGGGAAATAGGATTAACCTTAAGTCTAGTTCTCATAATGCAACTACATAGATTATTTCATTAGACCCTACCTACCTTGTACAATCTTTTAATCTCTAAATACTGTTACAACCTGCCTTTAAGAAAGGACCTTTAAATTAATACGCCAGCAAGCATTAAATACATACATAACTGTTTTGTTGACAAAGACATGCAAATGCTCTGTTCATATCTTGCTTTCAGTGTGAATTCCTGGACGGTTGGTTTGAAGTTTATTTAAGTCCAGATTTTCCTGCTATATGTGCAGGTTGCTGCTAAGTGGAGAAAGTCATCTCTCTGCCACAAGAACAGCCTGTTGGTAGTGATAATCACATGGTCACTGATTAGTTGGTATCATGTTTAAAATGTTAACTCTGTAGTTTACTAGTTAACTAATCTGTGCATCTGTGAATCTGTCCTCAGATTTACATCTAGCTCCTTGTGCACTTAGCACTGGGCCTGCTAGGCCATAGCTTGAATCCCAGTCAGCAAGTACTGGATGTGTTCATCTCCAGCCAGCTTCACCTTCAACAAGCCACTGGCTTATTCCTCAGTTGAGAATAGGGGTGTCCTAGTCACTGTCCTGGAGTCAACCAGGCTTCTGCCCATATTCCACCTAGTGTTTCACCAATTTGTTGCTCCCCAGCTTTTTCCAGAGCCACCTTCCCAGTCTTCCTCTCCTGCTACTAGCATTAGGCTCGCCTTATGAGTACTGGATGTGGTGGCCTGTAACTATCATCATCACCAGGAAGTCACAAGCCTGCTAGCTCCCTGTTCATTCCTGTCTCTGAGTCAGCCAACCTGTAATCTGTTCCTTATACTGAGTGGGCTGAAGAAGAGAGGTCTCCTTTCTGGTGATCTTGCTTTGCCTTTTGGTGGAGGAAGGCATGTGCCTTCCACTAAGATCATTTTACCTGGTGAGCCCATTATGTCAAGACAGTGTGTGTGTAGGTGTAGGTGTCCCTTTGTATTACTTACATTATGGGGACCGAAACCTGTTAACACACTCACACTGTGGGGACTCGGCCGTCCTTGTGGAAATCACTGAATTTTAGGGTGGCAACATGGTTTAAGGTTAGGGTTAGGTACTAAATCACTTAGATTCTGTAAATTGTCATTTTGGCTGATTCTCAGGCTAGCAGAGAATTTTTATACTCCCAAGTAGAGTATAAAAATTCAAGCATTTCAAAAATGGGGAGCTTCTTGAAGGTTATCCAGGGAAAAGAGATTGGAATGTAGCTACATTTCTTTTCTCATTGACTGCTTGATTGTTTCCTGATTACCTTTAATCAATTCAGAATGTTTATACTTTGTTACAGTAAGAGCATTTTTGCTATTTTTATGATATATCTTCAGCATTTTTACCATTTTCCCACTTTTGTTTTGATATTCTTAGTGGTTTGATTGCAAATGTCCATTTGATTTCATTTGGAAGCTTCATTTCCTGCTCAGTATTGATATACTATTTTGAAGATTGATTGACAGTTATAGCTTGTTCATATTTTGTTTATCAATTAATAATTGATCAGATATAACTAGGATTAAAGTATTGTTTTTTTCTGGGCAGAGTGTGAGAAATTAATGGGATTGGCTGAATGCATTTAAATTTTGTTTTTCCATTTGAAGTAGCCTACATATTCACTTCAGTTTTATTTGTATAGCACCAGTGTGTTCAGTGGACAGACTAGGGTCACATTGGCAGGGAGGTTAACTGCTTACTAGCCTTTGCCCAAAGTGGAAGAATGCCACAGTTGTCTTATACCCACTGTGTTCTTAGTTGACTTGCTAAAGTTAGTTACTGGTAAGCTGGTTGTGTTCAGAGTTTGAGGCTGAGTGAATCATTTTTGACCTGTGAAGACAGGACTTATGTAGTGATGTGCAGTCACTAGGACTGATGTTAATGTGGTAGGGAGCACTGAGGCTTTGTATTGCCTTTGCTTTAGTTGCTTCGTGGTAACCCCCCCCCCCCCAACCACCAATTTGGGCCAGGGATATTTAAGATACCTGTGAATGCTAAGCCACTTTTGTTGTTGCTTCATGCTGTGGTTGAGGGACTCCCCTTTCCTCCTACATTGGTGAGTAGGTGGAGTTCTTTCTTTTTGGGAGAATTTATATTGCAATGTGGGTATTAATTGTGAGCAATGTTTAGCTTTCTGGCCAGGAAACTGCCAAGAGGGCTCTGGTTGTGACCATTTTGACACGTGACTGTGGTGAGTAGACCCTGGACAAACTGCTTTGTCTTCAAACTCCTCTATTGTCTTGTGGCATGTGCTTGTGTTATTTTAATAATCTAGTCACTTGCAGGTCCTTACCTGCTGCTGTTTTGCCTGTTTAGAGTATTTAAGTGTTTTGTTACATGTTGGCTTGTTTTGTTTGTAGTTCCTTTTTTTTTTTTGTTGAACTGAGGAAGGCTAGTCACCCTTGGCGAGGTCTTTCATGGTTTGCTGTGGAGTGAGGCACTGGCTTGCATGAGTGAATTTGTTTGCTGTGCGTGTGCGTCTGGGCTGCAGTGAATGCACTGGTGGTGTATATCTGGTAGCACATCTAGACCTTTTTCAGTATGGTCTGCTTCCCTGGTTATTGGCTTCAACCCACTGAAATTTTGTTGGTTTGTTTCTTTGAACTTGGAAGCATTTTGTCATTGCACTGTATTTTAAAGTAAACTGGAATAAAAGAATTTTTATTCCATTTGGAAATCTCACACCTTATACTGTTTAATTCATTTGCCTTCCAGCAAATTCCCCATTCCTTTTTTGATAAATTGAATAAGTGTTTTATTTCAAATCACATCTCTGTCCCCTCAATAACTGAGTTTGTGTTGCCTTTGCCTTTCTGGGGTTACTGGGTGTGGTATCAACTGCTCTTTGGCATTTTCATTTGCCTTGCAATACCTGTTCCATGGGAGGAACCCCCCCAGGTGTTGTTGTTGGCTTTTTATGTCTGTTCATTCAGATTCTAAAATGTTTTTCTCTTTGGCCCCACCACATTGAGCTAGCTGATGATGGTCAGTAAATACCTTAAATATATGTTGGCTGTTGGTCAAAACTACAATGTCTAATTTTCTATTTCTGCATTTGTCAGTATAGAAACTTTAGTTGCTTAAAGGAACTTATGACAGCCGTACTGAACAAGGAAAACAGTGTACCAAGTATTTAAATAAGACAACTTTGGATTTACCAAGAGGTGAATGGTATGTAGTGATTACATTTTTTTAGTAGCTCACCTAACAGTACTGCCCTCACTGAAAAAGAGTAAAAGGCGAGATAAAATCCTGTCCAAGTTCAGAGTAAATATACATTCTGAAGCTGAGTTAATGAAGCTTCAGTAGTTGAAGTTGGCCAAAAATGGTTAGCAGGAAATTCCACCTTTGTTTGTTTGTTGTTACTAACATTTCCTTCCTGAATCATTGAGGAGGGATGTTATTTTCTTTTATCATTCTTTTTTATACTGTATGTCAGAATTTCTTATTTTACTGTATGTCATGATTTGTTTCTTTTTCTTTATTACTTTCTCCCTACAGCTCAACCTATTACCTCCAAGCTTGATGGGAGTTGGTGGGCGTATAAGGACGTGGTCCAGGGAAGCTTTGTTCCAGGTAAGAGACCATCACCCCACTTATACACAGCAGCGTTCAAAACCAGTACAGGGTATTTGAAAATGCTAATGTTGTGGCTGATTCGAGTATGTTAATATGGGCAGAGTGGTGGTAATTCCACCTGCCAACATAGAAGCGTTGTTTCAGGAGATACTTGTATAGGTCAAAATGAGATGGATGGGACTGGTCACTATATGGGTTGTATAGGCTGGAGGGCCTTGCTGGAATCTAACACGACTTTAATGCAAGGATGAAACCGTACATTTGTTTTGGAGATGATAACTTAGTTTAAAAAACGAAATCTATGGTATGTTACAACATGGGTTTATTCCTATAGTTCTGGCCGTCAGCTCTATCACTGGATGATAACATTTACTTAACATTCAGATCAGTTGTAAACAAGTGTTTTGATAAAGAAGAAAATAATTTGGCTTGGCCACAGTGACTAGTCTTGCTGTGAGCATCTGCCACCAGATCTCATGATGCACTCACACAAGTGGTTTTCTATACACAGCATTTGAAAGGCATTGTTTATGTTGAGGACATTCTGCTAATGTTGGTTGACCTATTTAATTACACAATCTGTTCTGACACACAAATATCACAGACCTGACTGTCAAGACTTCTGAACTCCACAGTTTGTCAAAGTTCCAAGTTCAAAGCCCCCTGCTCCACCATTTGTTCTTGTAACTGTTCACTTTGGCTTCTTGTGCCATTTGCCCCTTGTAATATTTAAAATTCATCAACAGAAAAGAGTAGAAAACATCCCAATATTGTCTTGTAGAGGGTCAAGAACAGAGCCCTGAGGTATTCTGTTTTTCACATCAAAATGTATTGAAGTTGTATTATAAGAATTAGATTCTTTCAGATAATTAAGTTTAACCATGTGAGGGGCAAGACAAAAGATACCACATTGGTTTTCATATTCGTCAACTAGTATACAATGACCTCTGGTGTCAAAAGCTGCATGGAGATCAAGAAGATTCTTCTAGTAAGTGTGGTTTCAGTGGAGTGATGGGCCCTGAAGGCAGATAGAAAAGGTTCAAAAAGCTTATTGTTTAATGTAATGACTGAAGAGAGACATGTCATTCTTTCTAGTACTTTTGAAAGAATGGAAGGCTAGGTAGGAGTGGATACCTGTTAAGAGACTCTGGATCAATGTGTGGTTTTAAGCAAAGATTTAGCAACAGCATTTGTAAAGCTAGAGAAAAATTCTGCTCTGGCAGTAACAAGAGCATACTTGTAATTCATTACACGCTCATGCCATTGGAGGCACAAAGATTCCAGTATTGAATTTTACCATTTGCAGTTCATTTGCCAGCGCTTGTTTCATCAGTGAAACAGGGTGTAACCTCTTTGACCTTCTGGTTTTGGTAGTAAGAGGTTCAACTTTGTATATCCATGGGACTAGAGACAGCCATGTTTGAGTCACTGGTACAATTTTAAAGCCTGTTGCTGCAGAGTCTTCATCCATTAATATATAGCTGATGAAGATGGGTTTAATACAAACAAGTTGAAAATAATATCAACATTGAATGCTTAATTGAAAATAGACTTGTAAATGAAGGAAACATCACCAACTCAATAGCCCAAGCAACATGGGCAATGGTATACTGAGGTGGTGATGCGTCATATAAAGTGGCCATGGCATGCTTGTTTCCAGCCATTTAATGTTTAATCTTGGGTACCTCTAGATTAGCTTTGCACCTGTCATAACTCCAAATAGTCTGTAATTATTTCAGAATAATAAAACCAGAGTTGTGTCGAAGGTGAACAGCACAACAAACTGCAACGGCATCAATTAATATGAATTTCTCCTCCATAGATAGGTAAACAATGGTATATCTATCGATGAGAAGTGATGTGTATTACTCTAAATAAAGTGGGTAACTGAGAAAGCCTGCATCATGATTTCAATATTTAACAATTTATTAAATGTTCTGACTCTGAATTAAGCTTTGTGGCTTGTAGACCACTACTCTATTGACTGGTCACCAGTGGCTGAATGTGATGCCGAGTTTTGTAGAGCTATCCAGTATTAATATTCTTTGTGGTGACAGGGTGGACAGTGCAGCAATCACTGTATTGGTAAATGAATTTGGAAATGAGGGACACATCATCCATACACCTTTACACTTCTACTGTGGCTTGCAATAAATTAATTTCACCTAAGGTAAAAGTGTAGTTGACTGGCTGGGAGTGATCTTCCTCTCTGTGGATTTGCATATTGTATGTAGAAAAGGACAAATATAATTGTTATAATTACTTTGAAATCAACTGAGATTAATTTGGACTTTTGTGCTAGAGCAAATGTCACACTTCAAATTCTGCATTTCATTGTTTTGGATGAGACTGAAATGTTTCCAAATGAAGTGCGTGTGTGTGTAACTGGCTTATCATATCAGTGAGCATAGCCTGACTTTGACAATTTTTTTTTTTCGCCTTCAGTCTACTTTCACATTACACATTTCTCCTTGCTTTGTGTTGGTGCTGTGCCAGCACAGGAGAAATGTCTGCATCAAGTTGTTTTTGGAGAATGAAGTGGGAAAACAATCAGCAAAAAATGAAAATGTAAAAGTATGGTGCTATTCAGAATTCGGATCAGTGAAGGGTGTCATCTTGTACCTACATCTGCAGCCATATGGGGCACACAGGTGATTGGCTGCAATAAGAAGGACTGTGGGGGTTTAAGAAGGAAAATAGTCAGAGGTGGGTGTCTGCCAGCCATAGAGCAGAACAGTGATCACTACTCTCTCCCAAGGGAGATTGCTGTGAGATGACCCAACCGGGGAGCACAAATGATGCTGCCACAATGCTACTTAACTATAACCACAGAGTTACTCAAAATGATAAAGAAGGCAGAGAGGGTAGGTGGAGCCTTACAGTGCTGTTGCTGTTTGCCAATGAGCTGTCATTAGCGCTGTAAAATGAATAGGGTTATTAAACAATAGACAAAGCAGATTGAGGCCACTTATGTGAATAATATAAAAAGTTTAATTATACTTGCAGCAAAGGAGCATTAATTAACACACAATATGTTTGCATGAAGAGAATGCTCAGAGAGGCGGTTTCTCTGAGGGTCATTTATACATTCAGACTTAACAGTCATGGTAAGTTCTGTGTCTTAGAACGGGGTGTGATCACAAACATTCAGTTTGACTGCTCATGGAACAGCATTTGTGTAAGCTTCACACGATCAGATAAATGCATTCAGTAGAAAACATACAGTATCTATTCTAATTCTACTGTTCTACTCAGTACACATACAAGATGTATAGTAATTATGTTTTGGGTCTCTAGATGTTACTGTCCCTTAATAAGCATATTTCCAACAAAAATGTAAGACTAAATATAATAAAAGATACAGAGTACACCACAGGTGCCATGGAACAATGGAGAGTTTTTGCCAGGTGAGATAGCAGCATCTCTGGTTCTCTGATTCAGTTAACAGGTTCAACCAGCAGCACCTACTGAGACAGGAAAACCTTGTGACGATTAGTTGGGTTCATTTCAACTGGTCGCTGCTTGTTCAGCTCCTCTGCCAAAGCTGGCGATTTTCTCACTTCAAATCAGAGCAGACCAGTCCAATCAGGGGCAGGTGCCGTGGGGCACTAGAAAGACCTTCTGTCACCTCCTGTGGCCACTTATTAGCTGATCACACAGTACAGTTGTCGGTATTTATATAGATTTTGTCAGCTGCTGTTGTGATTATAAAATAGTGATATGATCAATGCAGCCACTTGAGACTGACTTGCAATCATCAAGTATGATCGAATTGCTGTCTGACAAACAATTCTGTAAATGAGAAGATATAAATCCTAGGGATCATAGAAAGCAGGAGAGATGAATGGTGGTTTAACAGAGCTGACATTCAGCACAGTAACTGCAGTGTGTACCTGTCACCTCTTGCCAGATGGTGGTTGTTGCTAAATGGGCAAGCTGTGTCATTTTGTTGTGTGCAAACTCAACAGGATGAAGAGAAAAAGGTGTATTACAATAGTCTTACTTCTGTTGCTTTTACCTTTTTGTCCTTCAGGCTCTTTCTCCCTCATCATTTGTTTGCAAGAAGTGTCCTGTATAGGCAAATGTAACATATGAAATTGATCATTAAATATCAATGTTGTCTGTTCCCAGTAAATACAAAAATGCGTCATGATTGAGGTGATGAACACTCACTACATTCACATTACAGGCCTTGATGCTCAATCCCTATCCTTTTGTCAGATCCCATCATTTTGTGTTGGTTCACATTCATCTTTGTAAGTGATATATTTACTTGTGGACTGTATCAAATAATGTGAGAGGAAGCTACACACCCCTAATGAACACCACTAAACTGCCCCACATGCAGATTTAACTTAAAGGTTAGTCACACGCATACAACAATAACAAGGTCCTTTGTGTGAAGGTTACATTGCAGAATTCCCTGAAAAACCAATGTTACAGTATGTTCCTTCTACGTTTGGTATGGTCAGAAGCTTATGTGTCAAACAGAAGTAAAAGGTCCTAGTGTCTCCACTGACCAGCATTGCTGTTGTTGCTCTCCTTAGTTTATTTGTACTGATCTGAGGGGGACCTCACACTTCAGCATGTGGTCTGAACGTAGCCTTAATCACAGTGATGGAACGGATTGTCAGCAGCTTGTCACCAGCCATAGCCTGGAGGTGACACAACCAGATCCAGTGGGCATTAGACATGGAATTTTTATGGAGGTCTACAACAGATTAAATTATCAAATATCAATGTCATCTTATCAACAGTGTCAGGTCTTTGGGCATTTTATCAGCTCGTGCCTTTATCACTATGCAGGCATGCTATCTGCACTTCCTTCTATTCCTCTGACATTTCTCTTCCATCTCTGTTTTTTGCATCAGGCTCTAAGGGGTGTTGAGTTCATCCTTTAGTTGTACAGTTCTTATGTATATTTGATCACATCTGTGTCTGGTTGTCTCCCCATCTCCTTCATCTTCTCCCTTCTCTTGCTTTTATTCTCTCTCATC